GGCGGGGCTGGTCATGGCACCCCCCACCCTGGTGGCACCCGGGGCGGACCGCCCCCCCCCGCCTCCCCCTTAGTACGCCACTGAGTAATACAGAGACATACAGTCATACAGAGACATACAGAAACAGGCAGTCATACATGCAGTCACAAGTATATATTAACATCTCTGTGCAATCAGATCCCGAGGTAGCATGCTGTCCGCCTCTGATCTGTGGATCCAGATCAGCAGCCCAGCCCATCACTGGGTGCCAGTGGCAGAACTAAAGTAGAGAGGGCCCTGGTGTAGAAATTCCCCCCTTACCCTACTCCCATCACAAGGGTGTTAAAAGATATATCCCTATTAGTGATGTCCCGAACGGTTCGCAAACGGTTCGCGAATGGTTCGCCACGAACGGTTCGCCGCGGACTCATCATTGAGTAAACTTTGACCTCACAGTCAGCAGACACATTCCAGCCAATCAGCAGCAGACCCTCCCTCCCAGACCCTCCCACCTCCTGGACAGCTCACTAAGAATGCAGCTTCACAATGGATGCTGTCCAGGAGGTGGGAGGATCTGGGAGGGAGGGTCTGCTGCTGATTGGCTGGAATGTGTCTGCTGCCTGTGAGGTACAGGGTCAAAGTTTACTCAATGATGAGTCCGTGGCGAACCGTTCGTGGCGAACCGTTCGCGAACCGTTCGGCGAACCGTTCGGGACATCACTAATCCCTATCTGTTGTGGAACTGCAACAATGCTTTGACAGCTGGGGCTCTCCCAATTTCCCTTGCTTGCAGTGTTGTATTTAGCACTGAGCAATGTTTGTTTGTTCTTGTATGGAGTATATTTGTGTGCATGTAGCGGTGTGTTTGTATGTAGTGTTGGTGTTTAATAAAAAACATGCATTTATGTGTAGTGTTGTTTTTTTAATGCAGAGGTGTGTTTAGATATAATTTTAGTGTTCAATACAGAGCTGTGTTTGTATGTAGTGTTGATGTTTGAATGTAGGGGTGTATGTGTGTAGTGTTGGTGTTTGACTGCTGAGATGTATGCATGTTTACACATACACTGCCGCACACACAAAGATACACATACACACAGATACACAGACTGCCACACATGCAGATACACAGATAGTTAGTATAAACTGATACAGACAACATAAAGATACACAGATACATACATACTCTCTCTGACATACAGATACATACACTCACATACAGACACAGTCACACACACTGACATACAGACACATACATACTGATACATACACAGTGACATACAGACACACAGATACACACATATGCACAATGACAGACATACAGATACATGCATGACTGAGGTAGTTGGGATTTAGAGGCTAGCTCTCTTGGCCCAGCCACTTCCTCTCTGCTCCTCGCTTGGCTCTTGTCTAGTTCGAAGGACGTGACAGCACATCACTTCCTCCCCTGCAGACAATGTGCTTCACTGGGAGCAGGGATATGACATGTTCATATCCCTACCTCCCCACCCCCACAAAGTCCGCGGCATACAATGATTGGAAGGCTGGGCTAGTGGGAGCTGCTGCCTTTTGGTCACACTATAAGAAATTACCTGCAGAAGAGGAGTGCAGTGTGCTTTCCTCCTGGCCGTCTCCCGGACATATGCGCCCACAAGCCGGGGCACCCTAAGGCGGCAGCCTGTGCCACCGTGTGGTAGTGCTGAACCTGATTATGGACACTCTGACAAGTGTGCGCCCACGCAGTCCCATACACCGCAAACTGTGATGCACTGTATGTTCTGACACCTTTCTATCATGGTAAGAATTAATGTTATTCAAAAATTTGAGCTACAGTAGCTCTTCTATGTGATCAGCCTGACGGGCTAGCCTTCACTTCCCACATGCATCAATGAGCCATAAGCATCCATGATTCTGACACTGGTTCACCGGTTGTTCTTCCTTGCATCACTTTTACTAATCACTGCATGCCAGATTTCCCCCAACAAGACTTGCCATTTTAGAGATGCTGTGGCCCAAACTTTTAGAGAAAGCAGATGCTGAGAGCTGCAGAGTGAAGAAGGATACATAAAATCTCTAACTGACGCTTTGAAATCAACAATGTATGCTTAATTTTGGTATGTCTAGGGAATCAGAAAATAAATCAGAATTTGTACCAAGTTATGAATTGGAAAATAGATGAATGATAATGGAATATTCTCTGTAACATTCTGCATTAGCTAGCAACAGTAAAACTAACAGTAAAACTATACAGGTTTAATAGCTCCTGAAGCCTCTTTACCAGATCCCCAAGGATATTGAATTAAACTAATTTGTCTGTGCTAAATAGCCTCATTTATTCAGACATCTAACTTGCATTCAGCCTATACCTCAATGATTGAAAAATAGAAATTCATTTACAATACAAAATATCTGTTTTGTTTGTATTTAACGGAGCACTATAGGGTCAGGAACACAAACATATATTTCTGACTGTATAGTGTTAAAACCACCATCTAACCCTCCACCCCCCCCCCAGCCCTCTCTTGCCTCCCTAAATATAATAACATCTTACTTGTACTCAAGCTTGAAGCTGCTAGCTCTGCCCCTGTCTGTTTCAGAATAGCAAGCTGTCTGCTGACATCATCAGAAGTGTTGTTCTGAGCCAATCACAATGCTTCCCCATAGGATTGGCTGAGACTGTGAAGGAGGCAGATCAGAGGCAGAGCCAGCACAAGTCAAACACAGCCTCATAGAGATGAATTGAATCAATGAGGAAAGTTCAGCGTCTGCATGCAGAGGGAGGAGATAGTTAATGTTGTGATTCAAACGAGGCAAGACTGAGATAGGAAGCAGCTTTAGCAGCCATCTAAGAGGTGGCCAGTGAAGTTATCACTAGGCGGTAATGTAAACACAGCATTTCTCTGAAAAAACAGTGTTTGCAGCAAAAAGCCTGAAGTGAATGATTCTACTCACCAGAACAAATGAACAAGCTGTAGTTACATAGTTGAAAAGAGACTTGCATCCATCAAGTTCAGCCTTTCTCACATTTTTTTGTTTTGTTTTAAGCCATCTATGCCATTTGTTTCTATCTAGAAACAAATGTGTTTAATCATGGCCAAATGGCCCACCTATATACAAAACAAGGATGCAGTAAAACATGCCCAGAACACTCCCACAAAATGTCCATAAATTCCTGTGTCAGAGTAAATCGGCATAAAAACATAAAATATCAAAATACATAAAAAAATACATACACAACAAATAGAAACCCCCACAAATTATATATAGCTAAACAGCCCTGATCTGAGCACCCAAGTTCTCCAAATAGCGCTTAGATCCATTCAGTGTAGGGGAAATGCCACCGTGTAGTAGTTCTGACCGGCCCAAACAGTTCCAGGGCATTTGGTGCTTTTGCTGGTCAACTTCTGGGAGTTCCTGTGGCCGCAATATGAGGTGCTCCACTTGGCTCCTAGGTAGCATTTGTTCCTCTTAGTTTTAGCCACCTTCCCTTCATAAAGCACTCAGATCCATGCAGTGTAGAGGAAATGCCACCGTGTCAAAGTTCTGATGGGCCGCATACATGGTCCTAAGCCCAAAACAGTTCCAGGGCGTTTGGTGCTTCGGCCGGTAAACTTTCGGGAGCTCCTGTGGCCGCAATACGGGGTGCTTCACGAGGGTCTTGGGTAGCGTTTGTTCCCCTTAGTCTCAGCACCCAGGCAAAGCTTGTAATGGAGGCTGGGGAGATTTATAACTCAGACTTACATAAGACAACGGTCCAGCTGTACTTGATCTGAGCAATTTTCTGGTTTGCAGCAAGGAACTTTTTAAAACTCATACACACAGACCATCACACACACAGGTACAGACAGACAGTCACACACACAGTTAAAAGCAGGCACACACACACTAAGTTACAGGCAGACAGTCACACACAAACACACACACAAGCAGACAGTCACACATGCTCAGTTACAGGCAGTCAGACACAAGCAGTTATAGGCAGACAGTCACACACACACAAAGTTACAGGCAGGCAGTTACACACACACACACACACACACACACACAGGGCCGGACTGGGAGAAAAATTCGGCCCGGGCATTTTTTTAACACAGCGGCCCACTAAAAAGGGGGCGGGGCAGAGGAGGTGTGTTTTGTCATCACCAATGACAAACACGCCTCCTCTCAAAGTGAGCATGTTGGTTCAATGCTCTTCCAGGGCAGACCATGCGCAGAGCTCTGCTGAAGAGCTCTAGCATGAGAAAAAAGTCCTATATTTGTTCTGCACAGTGCAAGCAAATTTAATAACATGCTTGCACTGTGTTTCCTTGCAACTTGTCTCTGGTGTCTCTATAAATGGATACCAGGAGACAAAAGGCCAGGAAAGAGTATTGTGCATGTGTTTGGAGCCTGCTTGTGGTATTGCATGTGTGTAGAGTGAGCTGGTCGTGGTGTGGTATTGTGTAATAAGGTCGGTTTTAGTTGTGTTGTGTTTGTGGTGTAATGTGATGCATATGTGGCTCAGGGACCCCCTCCCGCCCGGCTCTGGAAAGGGGTTAAAACTTACCTTTTTCCAGCGCCGGGCGGGGAGCTCTCCTCCTCCGATCCGCCCCGTCCCGTCGGCTGAATGCGCACGCACGGCAAGAGCTGCGCGCGCATTCAGCCGGTCGCATAGGAAAGCATTTATAATGTTTTCCTATGGACGCTTGCGTGCTCTCACTGTGATTTTCACAGTGAAAAGCACGCAAGCGCCTCTAGCGGCTGTCAATGAGACAGCTGCTAGAGGCTTTGGGGGAAGGCTTAACCTATTGATAAACATAGCAGTTTCTCTGAAACTGCTATGTTTATAAAACAATGGGTTAACCCTAGAAGGACCTGGCACCAAGACCACTTCATTAAGCTGAAGTGGTCTGGGTGGCTAGAGTGGTCCTTTAAGAGTGTAGTGTGTGTGTGTGTGTATATATATATATATATATATATATATATATATATTTGAAAGTATGTGTGTGGTGCAGTGTGTTGGGGGGGTTCTGTGTGTATGTGAGGGTGTGGTGTGTGTGTGAGGGGTGCGGTGTGAGTGATGGGTGTGAGAGTGCCGTGTGTCAGAGTGCGGTGTGAGCGTGCTGTGTGAGAGAGTGCTCTGTGAGAGAGTGCTCTGTGAGAGTGCTGTGAGTGTGATGAGTGTGAGGGTGCTGTGAAAGTGCTGTGTGTGTGAGAGTGCTGTGAGAGTGCTGAGAGTGTGATGGGTGTGAGAGTGTTGTGTGAGAGAGTGCTGTGTGTAATGGGTGTGAGAGTGCTGTGTGTGATGGGTGTGAGTGCTGTGTGAGAGAGTGCTGTGTGTGATGGGTGTGAGAGTGCTGTGTGTGATGGGTGAGAGAGTGCTGTGTGAGACAGTGCTGTGTGTAATGTGTGAGAGAGTGCTGTGTGTGAGAGAGTGCTGAGAGTGCGTGAGAGAGTGCTGTGTGTAATGTGTGAGAGAGTGCTGTGTGTGATGGGTGAGAGTGCTGTGTGTGATGGGTGTGAGTGCTGTGTGAGAGAGTGCTGTGTGAGAGAGTGCTGTGTGTGATGGGTGTGAGAGTGCTGTGTGTGATGGGTGTGAGAGTGCTGTGTGTGATGGGTGAGAGTGCTGTATAAATGTTATTGTGT